CCCCCCCCCCCCCCCCCCCCCCCCCGCTGTTTTTTCTCCCTTGATTTGTGCCATCTGGTGCCTTTGCTTCTAAGTAGTACATAGAGCAGGGGAACTTAGCAATGAGGACCTTTGGTTTCTGACTCTTTCTTGTATCTTGCTACAAGTGGAGATAAAATTGCTGACACTTTGCTGGTTGCCAAACTTGGAGTTAAGACATCCCTCTCCTAGTGTATTCGATCTGACATTTGCTAAGGCCCATAAAATATAATTGCCTTTTAAAATGGTACAGGGGGTTAGAGATTGGCTGGCAGAGGCGTTGAGGCAAGGGAAGAGGGAGAGATAAAAGTTACCTGTTTTTCCCCAGGGAAGCGGGGGATTCAAGTATCCTTATTTTGGGGGAGCAGGAAGCAGGGTTCACTTAGGTAGTTAAATTGAGAGGGAATCACTTGCCATACACAGAAGAGGGGGCATTTAACATGAAAATCCCTGGAGGGGAAGAAAGATTAAAGTGAACAGGTGCTGGAAAAATGTTTCTGCATATTAGAACTTAATTAGATTTGAAGATGATTTCCAGATGGGCTAATTATGTATGTTGTTGCAGGTTATTTCTTGTAGGGGCAAGAGTGTATTTTTGGAAATGGTGATTTAGTTTGATTGGATTTGATTCCTGCCTACCATATCACATCGATCTAGAAGCTGCCTCTTTTGGGGCCTTGAGATCCCAGTCAAAAGGTCCCATGTCTTAGACTTCTCCTGTCAAAACCAATAGAACCTAAGAAAGCTAATGCCCCCCAGCCACCCTGACTGCTACAAAATAACCCGTAGAGACAGCCACTTGTCATGTGAATGGTTAAATGATTCTTACCCAAATTGGTTGGAAAGTCATTTCAGTTGTGAAGAGAAGAAAACTCGAAGAAGTGACACATTTCCAGAAACCTACCTTTGAATCATGGTGGGTTATTTGTTATTTTAAATTTTAAAATTTTTATTTTCAGTTCCAAATTCTCTTCTTCCTTCTATCCCCTCCCTGCCTATTGAGAAGGCAAGAAATATGATAACCATTGTACATATGAAGTCAGTTAAAACATTTCAGTTAGTCATGTTGAGGATAAAAAAGAGCAAGAAAAAAGATAAAGCTTTGATCTGCATTCAAAGTCCTTTCTCTGGAGCATTTTTCATGAGTCCTTTGGAATTGTCATAAATGATTATAGTGATCAGAGTAACAAAGTCACAGCTAATTATCATTATAAGTTTGCTGTTATTTTGTGCAATGTTCTCTTAGTTCTGCTCACTTTACGTTGCATCAGTTCATGTCAATCTTCCCAGGTTTTTCTGAAATCATCCCCTTCATCATTTCTTACAGCACAATCCTATTCTATCACAATCACTACTGCATGTTGTTCAGTCATTTACCAGTTGATGAGCATCCCCTCAGTTTCCAATTCTGTGCTACTACAAAAAGAGCTGCTGTAAATATTTTTGTACTTGTGTGTCCTTTTCCTTTTCTTTGATATCTTCATGGGGTAAAGACTTAGTAGTGGTATTTTTGGGTCAAAGGGTAAGTACAGTTTTATAGCTCTTTGGGCACAGTTCCAAATTATTCTCTGTAGTGGTTTGGTCATTTGAATGGAAATATGGGATTCTAAAATCTTACTGCTATGGTGATTATTGCCATTATTATTATAGAAAGCAAATGATGATAGTACCAAAAGTGTGCCAGACAGAATGGTCTAGATAAATTTGAGTAGGGAAAATATACTTTCATCTGGGGGTTGAGCTAGGCCTTGGAGAAGGAGAAGAATTCTTTGAAAGATTGAGTTGGGGAAGGAATGTACTTTACCTATAGGGATGGGGGGGGGAACAGGATGGAACAATCTGTGTGAATGCATGGAAATGACATGGTATGAAATTGAGGAACAATTCAGTTTAAGCTAGAATATAGATATGGATGTATAGAAAGGCCTCATGCCAGAAAATTTAATTTAAAATGAGAGACGTCCAAATTGGGGCTGATGGATTTCTCATTCAGATAATGGGGTTGTTTTGACTTACAAGTAGTTTGTGGTGATTGCCTCTAGAAGATAGAGATGCTGACCCCCTCTGAACATTGTCCGGGAAGGATGTTAATGTGTTGGATGATGACTTTGAGCCACACTGCACACCTTAGGAGGATCTACTTCAGTGTCTGAAAGCCTTAATAACATAAACTTTTATGTAGGGACCTATAATTGGAAATTATGGATATATAATTCATATGTGACTCAATGAATGATTTATATAATAAGTGATGATTTAGATAGAAAAACTATCCCCCCGAATCTTTAATGAAAAGCGTCAGTTCTTATGAATTTATTTCTTGAACTATGTTTGAATTCAGAATGTTTGACATAAATCAGATCTAATTGTCATGTTATGATTAATGAACATATGCTGGCCATTTTTCCCCATAATTAAACTTTATGTTCGAAGCATCTGACAAAGCAAAACAAGTTTAGACTTTGACAGATTGTCAGATTTTTTTTTTTTAGTTCTCTGTATTTTTTGTATGTGTGTGTATTCATTTGTATATATGTTTATTACCACTCATCAAGATTTTTAAAGGAAAGTTTTCAGAGGTGGGAATGGGATTATTAGGTAATGGTAATTAAATGTTGCTTGTAGGAGGACAACAGTGGTACAAATCAACCCTGAGTCGAAAAGACAGATATCACTAACCTATTTGCTTTTTTGCTTAGCCAGCTCACAGAGCCACCTAGGCACACTGAAACTCCACCATTTGGGAAGGGAGCAGGGAAATGTTTGAATTCATGCTCCCTGTAGTGTCTTACTATTAGACAGTAGTACATCTGCTTTCCCATGTTACAGCTGTATTAAAATGCTCCAAGAAATGATGGAAGATGGATCAGTTGTGAAAATATGCAGGTTTTACTCTGTTTTCATGAACTTAAGAAAGAATTGAAATGACTTTAAGGCTGACTCTGAAGGACAGATGTCCTGTCCTTTAGTGTTCCTGTATAAACAGAGTGCTTAATCTTTGACTTCTTTTTCTTTTAGGACATAGATAAGTTTGGTAATGAGATCACTCAGCTGGCCCGCCCCCTCCCGGTGGAGTATCTGATCATAGATGTGAGTGTTTCCCTTATATTTCGTCTTTTGGGTTAGTGTTGGAAGCTGCAATATACCATGGAGAACAACTTAGATCACATATCTCAAGGAGCTCTGAGCACGTCTGGAAAAGTTCCTAGGGGGATAAAAAAGGATTCGAAACTTAAAAAACAAATTTCAGGGCTTTTGTTTTGTTTCCTTAAAAATAACTGAAGGCCCCCACCTAGTTGGCAGAATATTTAAATCACGGATCTTATACTTTATGTGAGGGTAGATACAAGAAGGCAAAATAAAGCAAGTTGAAGTTGTTGTCACCCTAAGAACTAACATTTGGCCACTCCTGTCAAGATACTGAATTTCTTACCAGTAGACCCATTTTAAAAGGTATATAGTATTGTGCCTTTTCTTCAAAGAAGTCAGATTTAGTCTCAAGCCCATGACTTCACTATCTTTACTTACAGGAAAACAGTCCATTCCCCCACTGGTTTTCCAGAAACCCGGGAAATAACTGATCTTTTGCCTTTCCCAAAAGAAAAAATGGTTTTGTTACTTTTCTCTTGTCCTTATTAAACTCAACCCTAACTCTCCAGTGTCCTCCTTCTCCAGATCTACTCACCCCTTTCTACTATGCCCTAAAGAACTCCTGTTTCATAATTAATGAAGATTTTAGACCCACATGCTCTTTCCATCCTCTGACACTGAAATCTAGCTTCCAGGATGACATTACATCCCTCGTCATCTTTTCTGGTACTTTATCTCCTCTCATACACCCCTGATTTACTGGTCCTGGGGGCAAGGTTGAAATACTCCTTGCTCCCTGTTACCACTTTCCAACTTTCTTTCTGCTGCCATCATTCAGCAAACCTTTTCTCCTGTGAGGTCCTTTCTGTTACCTTATCCAGATCCTGATGGCTATTATCTAGCAGTTCCTCAGATCATCTTCCCTTTTTCTTAAAAGAATTCAATACATGGCTCATAGTGTTCTACTCCAAACCTAGGGTCCTTGTGTTAGGAGACTTTAGCATACATATTGCTGTTCCTTCAATAGCCCAACCTCCCACTTCTTCAGTCTCCTCAGCTCCCAAACCTATTCTGCAATTCCACCTTGGCTACATCTAAGAACATTCACACCCTTGGGCTTCCCATCACTTATGAGTTTTTCAGTTTACATGATCAAGAACTATTAAATTCTTTTATCTGGTCACAATTGCTTATTTTATTGCTACCTATTATTTACTACACCTAAAGCTGGTCTTTATCCTCTGCATGACCTCTTATCTTTCTACCCTTTAGTACTTTCCCAAGTGATCACTTCTGCTCTGGCTTTGTTCTCCCTTTTATGCCACTTGCTTTTTTAGGTAGAAAGGATATAAACACAAAGAATGAAGCAATCTTTACTCGAGGAGCTTATGCACTACAGGGGAGACCACAAATACATATATAAATATATGTAAAATAAATATCAAAAGAATAAGTACATAGTAATTAAGCATAAGATAGTTATGGTGGGAGGATGCTTTCAGTTGGAGATAAGGTAAGTCTGTGTGAGGGAGAAAAGAAAAGCATTCTCTAAAGCGGAGGAAAGAGTTGATTCCAGGTTTGGAAGTTGGTTGATACAAAGGCACAGATATGGGAGATAGAGCATCATGTGTGAGGAACAGAGAGAAGGCCATATCCAGAAGACTAGATCATGGAAAGGGCAGTCATGTCCACTGATACGGAAAGCCAGGTTGAGGCCAGGTTGTGAGGAGCTTTAAAAGGTAAGTAGAGGATTTTGTATTTGATCCTAGAGGCTGTAAGGACCCACTGAAGTTTATTGGTTGAAAGAATGACGTGATCAGACTTGTGCTTGTGGAAAATCGCTTTGGCGGCTTTTTGGTTGACTGTAATGGGGAAGAGACTTGAGGCAAGAAGACCAATTAGGAAGTTGTGGCATTTATCTAAACTCAAAGTAATGAGAGCCAAAAGTAAAGTAGTGGCTGTGTGAGTGTCTGATGCAAGAGCTATTGTTGAGGTAGAAATGGCAAGATTTGCCAACTGTGGGATGATAAAGAATGAAGAGTTGATAATGCTGAGACTATGAATCTGAGAGACTGGAAGAATGGTGGCACCTTTGAAAGGGAAGGAATAAGTATTTATTAAGCTCCTACTATGTTTGAGGCAATTTAAACTCAACATGTCCAAAACAGAATTCGTTATTTTCCCATCCATTATTTTCCCTTTTTCTGTCAAATCGTTCTAATCACCCAGGTTTGCAACATCATTGTCCTCTTTGCCTTCTCTTTTTCATCAGATTTCATCCGTTGTCTTTGCCCTTTGCCCTGCACCCTCTCTTTCTCCCCATTCTTCCCAGAACTCCATTTTGAGGAAGAGCCCAGGACCATCATATTTTATTCTCTGTACTTGACCGGCCATGCCCTGAGATTGCACCTGTTTTGGTCCACCTCTGCTTTTAATCTCCCTTTTATGTGTGCTCTGCCCGAGCTCCTTGAGGGCCTTAGAATGAATTTGAAGGCTAGGAAGGACTGTCTTTTCTTTTTGCTTATATTTGTTTTCCCTAGTATTTAGCACAGTGCCTGGCACATAATGAGCACTTATTGCTTCTTGACTTGACTGTCACTGACACATCTAATCATTTGCCAGGTCTTGTCCATTCTGCCTCTAAAACATCTCTAATATCTGTCCTCTTCTTCTTGCTCATACAGTCATCACTCTGGCTCAGTCCCTCATTGCCTTGCCTTTTACCTGGATGATGGCAGTAGCCACCTGATACCCTTGCCTAAGGATTCTCCCCAGTCCGTCCATCCTTCTGTGGCTTCTGGAGTAGGAGCAGGACAAAGAGGAGAATCTATTAAAGAGGACAAATGTAATGGTAGCAATAGCCCAATAAAACAGAGGATATAGTACCATCAACCTTGTCTGAACTGATTAGGTTAGCATGCCAAAGACTTTTCATTCTTTTGCTTGATTCTTGTATTTCTGTCATGCTAGGAGTGGGCATGTCATTAAGGCAGGAAAATGTCATTGCATTTAGAATAGTGGATCCCTGTGAGTAGAGCCTATTGACAACCCATTTCAATCGACAGCTCCAGAGAACATATTTATTACCCTGTCAGTAAAGGCTCTGTTTTTTATACTACCTAGGGTATAATTAAGTTGAAAACAGATTGATGGAATATATATTTAATGTAAGTTGGGGTGATTCAAAACCAAATTATGAAATGCCTTTCCCTCTCCTTTTAAAAATGAAGTTAAACCTCTTGCTGCAGTAGAATAATTGTTGATTCTGCATTTTGTGTTCAGTTACAAAGTATGAATAGTTCTTCCCTGTACCTAAGATCTCTGTATGAGTCAAAGTGCTTGAATCACTAGACCACTCTGGGTGGAAGCAGATATATAGCAAAAGGCCAAATGATGCAACCCGTATAAAGAAAGTGGTAGATAGCTTAATAGAAAACATTTAGCATGTTCTGTTTTGATACAGAATTTCTAAAGAGTGGCCATTTAAAATAGCTCCATTTTAAGTGTTAATATTCCGAAATAGTCCACCGCATGTTCCAAAGTTTTGTACAAATCTGAATCACGGTGGTTTGAGGGCTTCCCCAGTTTCTGGAACTGGGCCAGAGCCAGGTCAATCCTCTGTGAGGAGAAATGAGGGTCTCTTGCATTCACCAAGACTCTTGTCTGGAAGAGTGGCCACCAACTCATAGAATCGGAGGATCATACCTCAGACTATGTGGCCTCCTCTTCTGTAGCTTGCCAGGGTAGGATGGTGGTGATGAATGATGGGTGCATTAGTTCCAAGTTCACTAAGATTTAAAATAGGATAATACATTCCCAAACTTATCTCTGTTTCTCCACTTAGCCACTGCAACATGGATTTCAAACTTAAAAAGATTTTTGAAAACCATATTCTCCCCTGACTGTAGACTCTTTTGATGGTTCAGCCTATCCTCCTTTGGCAACTGGCACAGTCACAACAGAATCCCAGGCCAGCGAGCCATGAAACAGTTAGCTGCTTTTGCTTCTATAGAAAGCTGAACAGAACAACATTTCCAAGGCTTAGAAATAGTCCCATAGGATCTACAGTGGCTGCCCTAAATCTGAGATAGGTGTAATCTGCTACTGCTGTAAGTGTCATATTGCAGCAGAAAAGCTGTGTCAACCAAAAGGTGGTTAATAGCTCACACTTGGGTGCTTTCATGGGGAGGGCATCTGCCAGTAGGAATAAAAAACCCTATTTGTATTGATTCCTGTACGTTTACCACTGTCCCTGTCACATGTATTGATTGTATTTTAGATTTAAAATGTTCTTTGTCATCACTTAAACCTTTCTGAGTCAAATGAAAGGATTGAGACCCGGCTTTTGGCCTCAGCTCTTGAGTCCAGGCTTTTTCTTCATTGAAGGAGAGCAAGGAAACTGTGTTCCTTATGTTACTCACTTGCTTTTGTTTTCCTTCCCTTTTTGCAAAGTACAAAAGCTGCATGGAAACTGTTCTGGGCACTAAAAACTTATTGAGTGCCATTAATGGTTTTAGCAATTTGACTTAAAGTCATTCATTTCCTAAAATTGTCACTGGTTGGGTCTGCATGTGCTCCCAAAACCAGTCACATGAATTTGAGCCTCTTAGTGCCTCCTGGAGATACCTTCTTGTGCTTCTTCTCACATAGCTCCCATTAGCCCTGATGGGAGATGAAAACCACCCTTTAGTATATAGATAACAGGAAAAAAAAAACGGCCCATAAAGTGGTAGCTGCCCACTAACCCTGTCCAGGTAAGGGCTGAACTGCAAAAAAAAAAAAAAAAAAAAAAAAAAAAAAAGGTAGTGATAGGCACCAGAAAACCCTGTCCAAATTTTGAGATTTTACTCTAATGTTTTTGCTCCCAGGGTTCTTTAGTTTATTAGTCTTCATTTGGGAATGACTCCCATAGAAAAATTAATTTTTTTTATCTCATTGTAAGAATTTTAAAAACTTTAAGAATTGATACCAGCTTATAAGGCTTAAGGGTCATATAAGTGCACTGAGCTAAGTAGAGATATTGGAATAGCATCCATATCCCTGTCATATAATCTGGTTTATCCTAGATTCGTGTTTGTTTATTCACTTAGATCACGACGACTTTCCCCAAGGATCCAGTTTATACTTTTTCTATTTCACAAAATCCATTCCCTATTGAGAACCGAGATGTCCTAGGCGAGACACAGGTAAGCTTCTCATCCCTAGAAATATATTTTAAAAGATCTGAAGATTGACCCTGTGTCAATAGTATTTTTCCAGAAAGTGCCAGGTATTTGATCTCTCTCGCTTATTCATGCCTCTTAAAGAACCTAACCAGACCTTTGACTGAGACAACTTTGATCTTAATTGCTACAGGGCCTGTGGCTTCCAGTGACAGATTGTTAGCTGGGCCAATCTCTTCTAAGTCCCCAGAAGCCTGTGGGACCTTGGGAAAAGGACCCTTTTCAGTTGACTCTTCACTTTTTCCAGCCTCAGTGGTTATGTTAGGCATACGAGCAGCAGTCCCATTTTATTAATTGAGACAAACTCCTGCAGCTAAAGAAGTGTAAGCAGTTGCTCTTCTTCCCACAGGCTGCCCCACGCCCTGAGATGATTGTCTTTCATAGACACAGTAATTAGAGTGGTTTGTATTTCTTTAGAGCCTTCTTAACTAATATCTCTATAAGCATATTTCTTTTCTTCTTTATTTTTTAAAATTAATTTATTTTGAATTATCAACAATCACTTCCATAAGCTTTCGAGTTTCAGTTTTTCTCCCCTTCCCACCCCCCCCAAGACTTCATGCAATCTGATACAGGCTTTACATATACATTTCTATTATACATATTTTCACATTAGTCATGTTGTAAGGAAGATTTAGAACTAATAGGAGGAACCGCCAGAAAGAGGAAACAAAACACAACAGAAGAAAAAAAAATAGCAAATAGTATGCTTCAATCTGCATTCAAACTCCATAGTTCTTTCTTTGGATGTGGATAACATTTTCCATCATGAGGCCTTTGGAGATGTCTTAGATCCTTGTATTGCCAGGAAGGGTAAGTCTATCAATATTAGTCATTGCACAACGTTCTCTTGGTTCTGCTCACTTCACTCAGCATCAGACCATACAAGTCTTTCCAGGTTTTTCTGAAGTCTGCCTGTTCATGTATTATATAGCACAGTAGTACTCCGTTATATTCATGTACCACTACTTGTTTAGCCATTCCCCAATTGATGGACATCCTCTCAATTTCCAATTCTTTGCCACCGCAGTAAGAGCTGCTATAAATATTTTTGTTCATGAGGGTCCTTTTCCCATTTGTATGATCTCTTTGGGATATAGCCCTAGAAGTGCTTTTGCTGCGTCAAAGGGTATGCACATTTTGATAGCCCTTTGGGCATAGTTCCAAATTGCTCTCCAAAATGGTTGGATCATTTCACAACTCCACCAACAATGCATTAGTGTTCCAATTTTCCCACATCATCTCCAACATTTATCATTTTCCTGTTTTGTCATGTTGGCCAATCTGGTGGGTGAGATATGGTACCTCAGAGTTGTTTTGATTTGTATTTCTCTAATCAATAGTGATTTAGAGAATTTTTTCATATGACTGTAGATGGCTTTAATTTCTTCATCTGAGAACTGCCTGTTCATATCCTTTGACCATTTATCAGTTGGGGAATGACTTGTATTCTAATAAATTTGACTTAATTCTCTATATATTTTAGAAATGAGGCACTTATCAGAGAGACTGGTTGGAAAATATAAGCATATTTCTTAAGAAATTTGTAAAGAGTTGTTCTTCCTCCTCTATAGTAGAGGAAAACTAAGGCTCGGAGAGTTCAAGTGACTTTCCTTGAGTTACACAGCTAGTAAATGTTTAATACAGTAGCTGAATCTGTCATTTCACTATACCACCCACTGAAATGTCTCCTTCAATGTTTTGTTAGAGTTGGGAATGATAGCAGTGACTGAAACATTCATGTACAAATCGGTGTTGTGTTTTGTTTTGTTTTTTAAATATGTATTCATCAATATTTTCTGTTTGGTATTATTCCTTAGTTTGTTTTGAATACTAGGGATGGGTGCCCTAGGTCTCTGTTAACTCACATCACTCAAGTTAGACCAACCAAAATAAAGGGCAGATCTTGAACTATTCTGCCAGTGTGTGCATGCTTTTTTAAATCATCTAGCAGCAGCTGACTTGTGAATAAAGATATTAGCAAACAATATGAATCAAGTATGTTCATAATAAGATTTCCTTCTGAAATGGTCACTTTTATAGTGTTCCAAAGGTGCTTCATAGACTTGGCCTTTTTCCCCCCCGAAGACATCTCCAAGAAATTTAGCATGTGGGAGAACATTCTCACAGATGTGGTTTCCTGCCTAAAGTGTAAATCTTCTGCTACGTGTTTGCCCAAGGATCAGGGTGAGAGGAGATGGTTCAGATGGACTAAAAATGCCAAATATTACCTTTTTATCCCTAAGTGGAATTTGCTGCTATGCATCATTTTTTTCTCCCAGATGTGTGAAACTGAATTGAATTAGGATCTTTTTTCCACCTACTTCAAGGTATCTTCTATATCTGGATCTGCTTAACATTTGCTTAGTCTCTTAACTACCTCACTAAATAAGTATTATCCCTAAGGTTCTCTTTCCAGAAGAATATCAGAAACTCTTTTGAAACTATTCTTTCACTTTGGATCCCATGTTTTTTCATCTCAGTTTAAAAAACACAAAACAAATCCACTTGCCAGCTCTGTATTTGTTCAAATAAGTCTAAATGGAAAAATTATTACTTTCTTCAATATGGAGCTGGAGAACTGAAATGGAATTATAGTAAATCTTAATTTTTTCTGTCTCCCTGATCACTACAGGATTTTCACAGTTTGGCTACATACTTGTCTCAGAACACCTCCTCCATTTTCCTAGACATCATCTCAGATTTCCATCTGCTCCTCTTTCTGGTCACCAATGAAGTCATGCCTCTTCAGGTATGTAACCCAAGGAGAAAATTCTTGGCTAGAAACCTAAGCATATGGAGTCCAAAATTGCCTTGTGGGAGTGATTTCTCTCCTGCTTTCCTTAGGTATCTCCACAGCAGAAACTAGAATGTAGCTCTGGTTGCCTGAAAGGGAATTCTAAAATCAGTTTCCCAGTCTTTCTGTGCTTCAGGCTTTGAGAGTGTAGAGAGTAGCTTTTTGTAAAAAGAAAATGTTTGTTTAATGATTGGAAGATGAATTTTCTGATTTTGGAATCTTCATTGGGACGGCTTCATAAGCTTGCCTTGCATTTTGAGGTTGAGGGTAGCCTTTTCTTTTCTAATCATAAGCAGAGGCAATTCTACGCTGTCCTAAGGCAGAAAACATTAGAAATACCAGAAGTAAAAATTCCTGTCATAGTTCAAAATTACTGTTCCTGTTCTTTTCTCTTATATCTTTCTCTCCCAAAACAGTGCTATCTTGGCATAGAGAGCTTGGCTGATTACCAGTCATGGAATTAACATCTGCACAGTTGGCGTTTTCTGATTTTAAAGACACACAGAGCAAAAAAAAAAAAAAAAAAAGGCATGTGTTTTACACATACTGGGAGTTAGAGACTGTCGGCATGTGCAGAACAGCTAGGCTGACAGCGGACAGCTGGAGATTGGGACTAATCAGCGTTGTAGCTGGTATCCTTCAGCTTTAGCCTTTCATTTTCGAGAAAATACCAAAGAGGAAGCTAAACAGCATGTTTGGAATTCCCCTTGAGTTAAAGCATTGACTAACAGCTCCTGTAGTCTGTAGGACAGATTCTTCTAAAGCAGAGGTGAAGTAGGTTGCTCCTTCTTTTTGCCTTTGCACCATGCGTGGTAGGAAGCTTCTGGTACATGCTACTTGGTTGGTCTTTGCAGCTCCCATATGTCTGGCAGCAACTTCTTTTGTCTTCCTTTGAAGACTTAGTCTTGGGGCAGCTAGATGGCACAGTGGATACAGCACCAGCCCTGGAGTCAGGAGGACCTGAGTTCAAATATGGCCTCACACACTGACTAGCTGTTTGACCCTGGGCAAGTCACTTAACCTCCCCAAAAAAATAAAGACCAATCTTGCTCAGCTGGCCCATATACCACTTTCAGCTTGCACTTTTTCTCCTTGGTTATATCCCAGTACTTAGACCCTCAGTTTCCAAATCTGATCAAACTAACCATCTGAATTGATGAGGTAATGTGAAGAACTTTACAAATCTCTGCATTTTTTTTTTTTTTGCATTTTTTTGGGGTTGGTGTGAGGCAGTCAGGGTTAAGTGACTTGCCCAGGGTCACATAGCTGGTAAATGTCAAGTGTCTCAGGTCAGATTTGAACTCAGGTCCTCCTGACTCCAAGACTAAAGCTCTGTACTATACCACCTAGCTGCCCCCCCCCCCCTTTTTTTTTTCTGAGGCATTTGAGGTTAAAGGACTTGCTTAGAGTCATACAGCTAGTTAGTATTATGTGTCTGAGGCCAGATTTGAATTCAGGTCCTCCTGACTCTGGGGATGAGCTCTATCTGCTGTACCACCTAGCTGCCCCAAATCTCTGTACTTTTTATATCAATAGCCCTAATAATATTCACCCTTCCTCAAACTTACCTATCTGAAAAATATACTTTGCAGATGAATAGGGTGTGTTGGAGCAGCCTTTGTCCGGATGTTCATTGTTAAGAGCCCCTTGAAGGCTTCACCTTTTAATTTTGTAACTTTTAAAATACTGTGTGTTAGCCTTGAGGGCCTTGGGCATGAAGTATGTGTTTAAAATACATAATCCCCAAGATAAGGAGAAGCTGAGTTGGGGGGGTGGTGAGGAGAAGGCTACAATTACATCACTCAGTCATCTCACATACCTGTGTCTGACTCTTTGTTCGCCTGTCCTAAGAATATGAGCCCCCAGGATAAAGGACCCTCTCCTTTATCTTCTGTGATCCTGAACAGCCTGTCAGTACATGAAAGACAGACACACTATCCCCCACTTGGGGGTTATTTAGGAAGGATTTAGAAGCTTGATTTAGCATACCCATTTATAGCCCAAAGGATGTGGTTTTTTGAGCTTCGTGGTGTGGCATCTACAGGATTTCTTTAATTCCCTCAGAAGTCTGTCCTTTCAACAAGAGTCATAGGAATCTACTAGCTACATTTTTGTCTATACTTCACAAAACAGGTTTGAACATACTCATTTTGGTGTCTTTTAGGACAGCATTAGCTTATTGCTGGAGGCCGTGAGGACTAGGAATGAGGAGCTAGCACAGACTTGGAAAAAATCTGAGCAGTGGGCCACCATTGAACAGCTCTGCAGTAAGTATCTACATTCTGTTCCCATAGCCCCAGCACCTCCTACCCTCTTTTACCCATTCTCTCTCTCTCTCACCCCCCACCCCCAATTCTGGGAGTCATTATGCTCCCTATTTAAGAAGAGAAGCAAAGCCTTGCCATCTTTAAACACTACCACTTGGTGTTTTATAAACTCATAGAGTTTATTTCTTCCCACTAGGACTCAAACCTTAGTGGAGTGTAGGGTTATTTGTGATAGAGAGGTCCAAACTAAAAATGTGTGCCATGGCATATTTTTAAACTTCTTGGAAACAGCTTACCAAACAGAAACTTGGTATTTTGATAAGCACTGGCTTGGCTAAAAGCCACATGTGGGCATTTCTGGCAGAGGAGAATGTCTCATAGACAGACCTTTTTGCACACCTACCCTTCTTCAAAGTGTCCTTGACTAATGATAGAATATATCACAGTCCAAAATCCAAATTAGGTCTTAGAAATATTGTGACATCTTCAGTGCCTAATAAATGTTCTTTACCACGACACACACACACGCGCGTGGACGCGCGCAAGCGCTTTATGTTGGTTTACATTGGCTATAAAAACCATCCCAATTTGAAACCACAGTTCCATCCCAAACAACTTCAGTTCCTTGGGCCCTCTGTAGCTTTAGGCTTTTTCCCTGCAGCTTTGAGAAATATCCGAGTGTCCTATAGAAAGAAACTTGAAAATGTCATTGTTGTGGTTGTTTTTTTAAAATTTAGGTTTTATCTTCTAGCCAGTGAGGTACATGGATGTTCACCAGAAAGTGAGGGGATCCATTGAAAAGAGATAGATGTATTAATCTGCTGTATTAAAAGAGTAGTTTAATAGCCAAAGAACTCTCATTAAATGTGAGAGGATGCAGGGGAAGAGGGAGTAAGTAATGATTAGGGGAGATGAGGAGGAACTTTCTGTTTACATAATAAACGTTGATTATAAAACCAGTAAAATAGCTGACTAAAATTCCACTTTTTCAAATTATACTTTGTGTTGAGTTATTCTTATTCTGAAAACTGACAGAAAATGAGTTATTCCCTCAGCAGGTTCATGCACTATTCTGAACTGAACAGGTGATGTGAGCTTTTACATACAGGAACTCCAGCATGTGCTTCAGACCTGGTATAAAGGTAGTCCCTCAAGCTGTCACTTAGCACTTAGTGCTAATGCTGTATCACCAGATTACTTTTCCCATAGCATTATTTTTCTGTCCTTTGCACAAGCAGTATAGAAATATTAATCAGAAGCTAGGAAAATTCTAGAATTTATTGTTAAAGTAAAAATTAGTGAATGTCTAGAAAAGGAAATAGTGAACATAGAGAACCCTCATAGGTTCATCAAAAACAGGTTGTGCCAGACGATTGTATTTCTTTTTTTGACAAGGTTACTAGAGTGGTAGATCAGAAAAATCGATTACCTAGATTTTAGCAAAGCATTTGACAAAGTCTCATATTCTCTATTTGTGGAAAAGACTCTGGCTAAGCACAAATTAGGTGTACAGTTTGTGTATTCTCAGCTGCCTGGACTTAGTAGTCATTAATGATTTGATGTCATTTTCAGGAGGGAAGTCTCTAGTGGATCTCCCTCTAGTTTAAGATGATGAAAGAATGTCTAGCTAGTAGCTCACTTAAAAAGGATCTTTTAGGTCTTAGTGAAGTGTGTGCTCATGTAGCAGTACAATATGGCAGTCAAGAAAGCTAATGCCATCTTAGGTTGTATCAAAAGATGCAACCTTTGCTTGCAGTGTCCAGATGGGGATCTTGGAAGATTTGTTCTATTTGGCCTCAGCTGACAGGATTAGAAGCAATGGGTGGTAATTCTGAAGAGATAAAGTTGGCTTGATATAAAGAAAAACTTCTCAACAATTAGATGCACTGATACACAATGGGCTACCTCATGTAGTTGTGAGTTTTCCCTCCATTGAAAATTTCAAACAAAAAGACTAGATAATCACTTGTCAGGTGTTTCATAGGGGTGCAGGTTTGGGTCGAATTGGATAGCCTCTGAGGTTCAATGATTTCTGTGAATTGGCATTCATTAGAGCCCATTGCAGCACCCTGCAGCCCTAGGGAAGGTGTGAACAGAAAGAATTAGAAGGTCAGGAAAAGTCGATTTGTGTGCAGACAATTTTAGTCTGATTTAAAAGAGGGCAAGAATGAAAACATACAGTAAGTTCACTACTTAATAGAAGTTTGGATAGCTATCAGGAAGGAAAAACAGATATGAAAGTGTGTCAATCTGAGCAGTTTCTGAGAGCTTAGAGTCCTTATCCCTACCTTCTCACTCTATAGATGTGGGAATCTTTACCAAAAAAAAGGAAAACCTAAGTCTGGCATGATTTTACTTGGCAGATTGGTTTGTTTTCCCTTTCTAACTGACTGTGTATCTCTGATTCCATTGAACAGCTATATTTTAAAATTTTTCGTATTATTTAACATAACCTTTGTTTTTTAGTTTCATTTAAAGTGTGGCTGGCTATTTTAAAAAGTTTATTAATATATTTTGTGTTTACATAACCTTTCTTTCCAAATATAGCCCTCTCTCCTCTGCTACCTAGAGAACCATTTCTTCTAACAAAAGATGGAAAAGAAAGAAGAGGAGAAAAGCAATAAGCACAGCTAATCGATATTAATTGAGGCTGACAGTATATGCAATGTCTCAGACCCACAGCCCTGTCCTTTTCTGTTCTCCCCCTGCCCCCTCGAAGAGAAAGAAGGGACATGTATTTTCTTCTGTAGGGCCAAACTTTGCCATTATATAATTACACAGTTATTCAGATTTTATTTTGTTTTTGTTCTTTCCATTTTCCTTATTATAATCTTACAATATTCCCTTTGTTAAGAAATGATCTCAAGCTGGGTTTTTTTTGTTTTTTGTTTTTTGTTTTTTTGGCTAGGCAGTGGGGTTAAGTGACTTGCCCAGGGTCACACAGCTAGTAAGTGTTATGTGTATGAGGCCAGATTTGAACTCAAGTCCTCCTGAATCCAGGGCTGGTGCTCTATCAACTGTGCCATCTAGCTACCCTCTCAAGCTGTTCTTTTAAATCCAAATACCAGTCCCCAGTTATGTTTAGGAGGTGCCTTACAGATATATTTGACACCCAGAATTGTGAAATGAATAGAGAGGTGATACTGCATAGGGATTCTAATGTTTCATCTAAGGAATTGCCCAGTAGTTGAGTTAATTTTTATGTGCACACATGTATGTATGTTATGTATGTGTATGCGTGCATGTTAGAAGAGCATCTTCACATGTATTATTTCATTTGCGTTCTCCTTACATCCCCATAACGTAGGTAGGGCAACTGTCCCCCCCCCCCCCCTTTTTTTTCTTAAACAGCTGAGGAAACTGGCTCAAAGAGGCTGATTGCCTAAGCTGGAACCAATTTTTCCAGCCTGTTGTTAGCATCATACTTACCTCCTTTTCACATCTGGGATTACCAGTTGTTCAGTCATTGAGTATTAACTATTTCTCTGTGCTAACCACTGTGTGGAAGCCCAGAAGTAAGTAAAGCACAGTCCCTATCTTCAAGGAGGTTTATAGTGTAGTAGAGACAGGAGCTAAGGCAGGTGGATTTCAAGAGCCTCAGACACATCATAATGCCACTGGAGAAATAAGAAAGTGCTCTTGACCGGTACTTTTGACTGACAACAGCTTCCCTAAATTTATATCTCTTTATACAGCACCCATCCATATCATTCACAGGCATAAAGTGCCCCTCTTCTATCTCTCAGGTTATGTTAATGAATTAGAAACCTTTAGGAAACCAGACTTTCGGAATTACCTTACATCTTCCTCTGGGAAGCTCAAAATAATCCCTGGAGTTTGAGTGGGGAGAGTGCTGGTCTTGTCAGGAAGACCTCATTTAAATCCTGCCTTGGGTGCCAACTGCAGAACCCTGGCAAATCACTTAAAATGATTGCAGCTTCAATTTCCTATAAATGGAGTTGAAAACTGCACCTACTTCTCAGGTGCTGTAGAAATGTTAATAATCATTACCATTCCTCCAAACAGCCTAGCAGAAGCATTTGTCAGAAATTCTTGTTTCCATTTTTATGAAACCAGAATGATAAGAGTATTTTGGGCCTGGTTACCCTTGGAGGTCTTGGTGCAGAACCAGGAATCACTTCCAGTGTCCCTGACTTCTGGGCAAGCTTCATATTTGTGACATTAATATGCTTGGGAAATTTCCCTGAGGTTTCTTGAATGAAGGAGGAGGAAGGGTGTTTTCACTAGTCTTATAAGAACAAAACTTCCTGAACCTCTTTCAGGTATTTAATATCTTTGATTAAAAAGCACTGGATCCATGTCAGGTTATAACTATTATATTACGCATGGCTGGGAAATAATAGCACCAGGCAGATTTTTCTTACAAGAAGTAATCTTGATTTGAGATAATTTCTGAGTGAAGGTTTAGGTTCAACAGTGAGTGCTTGCATTTGTCAAGGTAATGCCTGCACTCCAAGCCAGCTGTTAACACTCTGTCATCACCAACAAGCCTCTAGGCCAGGCTCCTTCAGAATTGGTTGTCGCCAGTATGTGAAGAGGAGAAAGGTCACTGAAGCTGTGCCAGCAGGTTCCTGCTGTTATCAGTCGTTCTTTTGCTGTGGATGCTGTGTGTCTGTTCTGGCTGTTCCGCCCATACTCCCTCAGTTCTGCAGATCTCTTGGCTGTTGTTTCATGATTTGACTATATACCTATATACCTTGCTCTGCTTCCACAATTTTGGTAGATTTCTTGGTTTCTTTTTGTGTGAACTTTACTATCACGGGCCTTCAGTATTTACACGTTCTTTGATTTCTTTTTGTTTTACCTGATTCATTGCTGTCTGCTGGAAAGTAAACTTAGCTTGAAGGGTTTAGAAGGCCTGGTAGTATATAGTGCTTCCCATTCATCAACTGGTGGAAGTGGTCTGAGGATACCACAGGGGAAGCCCATAAAGCACAAGGGTTGGGGCATTGGATGAGTCTTTATGCCAAGTAAACATTAGAAATCAAATGGTACGTAAAAGCCAGAGGTCTGCACTAGTTTGATATGCCTAAAGTCCTTAGAAGTAGCAACCTGGAGATCTTTCAGCAGTAGGACAGAGCAAGTTGGATGGTCAGATGGTCAGCAAATAGCAACCAAGAGATCTTTTAGAAGTAAGTGAAGAAGAGAAGAGAAGGGTTTTGCCTTAGCAGCAAAACCATTTTTGACAATGAGGTAGCTTCAGCTGCCGTGTGTGTTCCTCCTCTCTGGTGAGAATCCTCAGGTATGTTTGCCTTGAGGCTTGCTGGTGATGGTGACTCAAGACAACTGTCTAGCTAATGCAGGGATGGAAGGCAATCGAAAACATTGCTTTGACTGTAGGGCAGAGTTGATAAAAAGACTATCCAAACAACAGCTGCCATAGCAGTCAGGGAATGGTCTTCACTCATGCACAGTATGGCCATACATTATCTCACACATTGATTACAAGTCCCATCAGAAATATCAGTATTATTGTGAAAAATGGTAAGAATCCAGATGGGCTAGCATACCCTCCTCATTTTATCCTTTGCCCACAAGTGATATGGTTTCTTTTCCTCTCCCCACAGGTACAGTTGGTGTCCAGCTTCCAGGAATGCATGAGTATGGTGCCATCGGGGGTTCAACACATGCCACCTCCTCTGCAATGTGGGCTTGTCAACACTGCACCTTCATGAACCAGCCAGGCACGGACCACTGCGAGATGTGTAGCCTCCCTAGGACCTAACACTCCCCATCGTCCTCCTGGGCAAACCTGGGGACCAGACTCACAACCCTCTTAGAAGCCAGGATCGTTTCTCATGATTCTTCCCCTGTAATGATGCCCCAGTGGTGGGCAGACCTGAAGGAGGGGAAAAGGCTACCCTTGGGTCTCTGTGACCCACAGAAGCATCTTGGCACTGTTCTTTCCAGAGGGTACCCACTAGAGAGAGGGATCCAAGGCTGGGTTTTCTGCCAGGCTGAATTTAATCTCAAAACTGGAAATCCCAAAACTGTATCCCTAATGCAAGACATTTAACCTCAGTTTACAGTTTTGCAATTTGTATTTGATAAGAACGGCGCCCTTCTGTGTCACCTGGATTTTGCTTTTCCTGCAGCCTTCCCTTTTCCTTTTGCAATTTCCTCCCTTTTTTATTCTCTTAACTCTTCATCCCCTCCACTCCTTTACCCCATTCCCTTTTTAAAATCTTGTTGGCCCTCTACCTTGTCCTCTACTCCATTACTAGGTGTTGGACGCCTGCTGACAGTGGTGGATGCTTCTAACCCCTCAGCTTGGCCGGTCACCTGGTGAGAATGAGAACCAGCTCAGTCAGCTGAGCTGTGTCTTAGAGCAGGAGGCTTCTTCCCTTGTTGATTTGCATGATTTTTTTTTTCCTTTTTTCACCTTTTCTTTCCTCTCACCAAACTGGGAGGTGAGATTTAAAGGTCTGAATTGGTTATAAGGACAGCAATTTGTAATTCCTGCCTACAGGCCCTTTTGGTTCATTTGTTTTTATTTTTTAAGAGAAAAATACTGCACAAAAGGGAGGTGTGAGAGACTACTTTCCACTTCCCTTACCCCCTTCCCTTCTCAAGCTTTCACCTTAATAAATCCTTTTTAGGGTGTGTGTTTGTGGATGGGCGTGTAGGGGTGTGTGTAGGTGTGTGGATCCACAGTTAGTTATCCTTTGAAGTAAACCTCAGTGCCTGAGTCTTTCCATCAAGCTACACAGTAAGGACAGTTTTAAAAGCAAAAAGTCTAGATTGGGAGAACAGAAGAGTGAGCTGCACCCAGGCAAGTGGAACACTGAAGCTGAGCACTGCAGTTGGGGTTGTTTTGTTTTTTTTTTCTTTTAAAATTTTTAATTAGTGCTGATAGTCCCCTAGGTGTACCAGAGGTGAGCTCAGCTCACCCACAGTATTCAGTATTGTGTTCCTACCCACTAACCTTCTCTTCTCTTCCTACTTCCTGAGTCCTTGGCCTTCTGATTCACTGGCATGTCAACTGTAGCAGTTCCAGGAGGGAATTTAGGGTTCTGCTAAGTATGAGGTCTGCACAAGATCCCCTGAGAAGGCAGCTGAGGAAGTGACTAATGATAGCTATGGGGAGAAAGAACAGAGGTCCTATTGGGATCCCTGCCATCTCTTTACTGGCCAAGGCTCTGCCTGCAGGTGGGTAGGTACATCATAGCCTAGCACCTCCAGGGAAATTCTTTACAATCTTCCCCCATGTTGAGCCAATTGGCATGGCATGGCATGGCATGGGCATCTTAATTACATTCTATCTTGATGCCAGCTGCAAATTATCCTCAGCCTTTCAGCATAAAGGAAAATGGGCACCACTATAGGATACTTCTGCCACTTCTGCACTTCATGATATTTCTTGCATATGCTGAACCCTCTTTTCCTCTTGGGTTCTAGAGAGAATGTTTGCATCTGCTAGTTTGCATGTTGACCTCTGATGTGTCAGAAAGCTCAGTATAAACTTTGGCTGATATCTTTTGGCAGAATTGGCTAGTGGCATTAGCTACTTTCTAGGCCAAGGGTTTGGTTTGGATGAGTATGTTTTGCCTGGGCAGTAACTTCTATGGTGTCGTGTGGTACTGTTGCAATAGAGGATACAGAGTGAAGCGTGAAATCCCGCATAGGGAAGCACCTCTCCAGGTAATCTATTCTAGAGCTGTTGAAAATGGTGTTGGGGACTGAATTTTCTTTTGGAATATTGACTATCCTTTTCAGTTTAGACTTAATTCTTAGGATTGTTCTGGAGGTTTAATGCATCTAGTTAGTGATCTTCCTTATGTACACACACTGAAATCATTCTCTTCATTCCTTTTGAAACCAAGTGGAAACTTAACCTTGCTTCCAAGACTTCATATCACAAAGGTGGGATCAGATCACAGGAAAGAAAGACCCAGACTCCTCCTCTGCTTGCACTAGTCTCCTTTATTTGCTGTATTTGTTTCACTTTACTTTCAACCAACTTCTTTTTCCCTCTGAGAAATTCTGGCATTTACACAACTTTTTGTCCTCTTGATTTTATTTTTCTTTTAGTTTAACTACCTTGGTTCAGTAATGGACTTTGTGCCATTATCCAAAGAAAGCTGTTGAGGGCTAGATGAAGCTACAAATATGGCAACAGTATTGGTAGGAGAGTCCAGCCCCTAACCCAGCTCCTGGCTGCTTCCTTCAGGGTGGATGACTGACCCCAGCCCTGCAGGTGAGTCTGAAGGCACAGTCTGGCCTTCTGGCCTTCCTAAATGCGGGAAGCCTAAACTGGGCTTGTCTCTCCTACCATTAGTATAGGCCATTTTCCTTTTGTTGTCCCAGCCAGAAGCCCATCTCCCATGATGTAGTCCACTGCACTGTCTACAGCAGAGCCAATAATGGTCCCAGGAAAGTGGTGACTCACAAGTGCTCAGTATGGAAGGGCTCATGCAGGCCATTCCAGCAGCCCTTTTTGACAGAGAAGATGTTGGTCTTTTTCTCAGCCCACCTCTTTTCTCCCCTTACAGTTTGCATACCTAAAAACTAGCTATCTGGGGGTGTTGGTGCTCCAGCTTTGCTTGTTTGCAGATGTGCATTTGTTGGATTTGGATTGGAGTTATCTCAATTACAGCCCTGTAAGTGAAACCTAATAAAAGTACCTGAAATGACTGACTGGATCCCCCATTTTGTTGCCCTCCATTTAGTGTTTTCCTTTTTTTTTTTTCAACAAACCAGTATTTTCTTTCATACCACCTTCCCCCACTCTAAAAAGAAAAACAAAGCCCTCATAACGAATTCACATAGTCTAGCAAAACAAATTCCCTTGGCTGTGTCCAAAAGTGTACATCTCACTCTGCATCTTCAGTTCATCTACCTCATGATGATTCCCCATTGGTGGTTCTCTGGAATTGTTAAGTCACTCATTGATCAGAATTCTCAATTCTTTCAAAGTTGCTTGTCTTTACAAGGCTATTATTTTGTAAATTGTTTTGGTTCTGCCCACTTCACTCCATCATTTCATACTTTAGTTTTTTCGAAAACTGCCCCTTTTGTCCTTCATCTTTACAGTATAATTCCATTACATTCATATATCGTGGTCTGTTCAACTGTGCCCCTTTAGTTTCCAGTTCTTTACTGCTTCTGAAAAAAACCCTATAAATAATTATTCATATTTGTCCCTTTCGTTTTCAATCTCTTCAGGGCCTAGCAGGGCCTGGATGACATGCAAGTTAGTGATTTTGGGGAGTAGTTCAAATTGCTTTCCAGGATTGTTGAAGCAATATATGTTCTACCAGCAGTTCGTCTTTGTTCCTGTTAGCTTGCAGCTCCTCCAACATGTCATTTTCCTCTTTTGTCACCTTTACTAATCTGGTGGGTGTGAGGTAGAACCTCAGCTTTGCTTTATTTTGCATTTTTCTAATAGTGATTTGGAGCATTTTTTTCCCCAAATAATTGTTGGTAGCTTGGATTTATTTCTTGAAAAACTGACTTTTTCATATCTTTTGACCATTAGTAATTTGGGGAATCTACTTCATTTGCTGTTGAACTGTGGAATCCAAGGGTCTTTCCCACCCAAATTATCTTCCCTGGTATTAAAAAATTCACCACAAGATTGTGGCCTTTGCTTCCCAGTGTTAGTCCATCATTTATTTCCTGATGTTTCAGTGATGCATTTATGATCCATTTGTTGCTACAAGTTAGTTTTGTAGCTTTTTATTAGCGGGGTCCTCATTGAGCTTTCTTCCTTTTGTACCCTTAATTCTCCTGTTTCTCAGCATTTCTTTTCCACTATCCTTGGAGAATTAGTTGAAAATGGCTGCAAAACTTTTTTTGCCTATATTCTTGAGCAGTAATAAGAGTGAAGAAATGGTGTGTTGACTGCTGGATTAATTTTTGGGTAGGCTGATAGAAGGCTGTTAAAATACCAAAAGCTAGATTTATGTTCGATTTGCAGCCCCTGGTGCAACCACGTGGTACTCTATACCATCTCCAGCTGTAAGCCCACTGTCACTGAATTAGTGAGACTTTGGCCTTGACTGTCATTTTGCAGCCTTCCCAGGTTGACCTCTTCTGTGGACAACATGATATTCAGAAGGAGTAACTGTAGTTAAGCAGCAAATCTGTTGCATCTCTTTCGACACTGACTCATCTTCCTGATCCTAGGGGGAGTGCCAGGGAAGCAGGTACAGAGTGATACCAAGCGCCTGAAACCTCTTTCAGGATACATCCAGGCTTGCATTGTGCACCGCTCTAAGGTCTTTGTTTTCCTACTCAAGCTGTATTCGAAGGTAACTTTTAAAATTAACAAACATTGATTCCCTATGGCATGGAAGGCATTTGGATACAAAGCTGAAAAACAGTCTCTGCCTACCAAGAGCTTATGGCCTGCCTACACAACTTAAACATGTACCTAGGTAAGTAAATATGAGGTGTTGGAGGATGGGGAAGGGACTAAAAACTGGAGAAATTGAGCACGGCCTCCTTTAAAAGGCAGCATTTAAACAGCCTTGAAGGGGCACCCTAGCAGTTCTAAGGGGGAGACCATTGCAGACAGAGGGAGCAGCCTCTGATGAAGAAGAGCAAGGAGGCCAGTTTGGCTGGACTTCAGAATGCATGAGGAGCAGTAATGTACACTCTGGAGAAACGGATGAAGCAGGTTGTGAAGGACTTTGCCAAACAGAGTAGTTTCCTTGTTGAGCAAGAAGGTGATGTGGCTGCAGCTGTGTGGAGGATGGATTAGAGAGCAGATGGGTCTTCAGGTAGGGAGACCAGTCAGGAGGCTATTGCAACAATTCAGGTGTATGAAGATGAGGGTTTGAACCTGAGTAAGTGTGAATGGAGCAGAGGAGATAAATGTGTGAGATGTGGAATTGGAATCCATAGAATTTGCAAACTGATTAGATGGTTGGCGGGAAAAGTGAATATGGAGTGTGATTGAGGTTTTAAACCTGGGTGAATGGAAGAATAGTCAAATCAACATTTATTAGGTACCTACTATGTGCCAGGTATTATGTTAAGCACGGGTTGTGTCCTTAACAGAAATTGGAAAGTTAGGTGGGATATAAATAGTTTTAGAAATGTTGAGTTTCAGATGCCCATAGGACATGCAGGTGAAGATGTCCAGCTAGTAGCTGGAGGTACACGACATGCAGCTCAGAAGAGATGAAGGCTTGATATGTAGATTTGGGAGTCATCTGCACAGATAATGGTAGTTGTGCCCAGTTGACCAATAAACATTAAAAGCCTGCTATGTACCAAGCACTGTGCTGGGGGCTGGGGATATAATGAAAGAAAAAGTCAGTTCCTGCTTTCAAGGAGTTCACCGTCTAATAGGGAGACAACATGCAAACAGCTATGTACATAAATTGGAGATGATCAACAGAGGGAAGGCACTAGCACTAATGGCAATCTGGAAAGACTTCTTGTAGAAGGTGGGATTTTAAGTGGGACTTAAAGGAAGCCAGGGAAACCAAGAAATGAGAAGGGAGAAAATGCCAGGCTTGGGGGGGGATGGCCATTGAAAACTCCTGGAGTCAGGAGAGGGCGAGGACCTAGTTTGCCTAGGGAAAAAAAAAGGGCATAGGGCAGAGGCCTTGGATCCATCTACAAATGTAAGACAAGCCATAGATCATGATGATGATGATCCTGGAAAGGAAGGAAACCCAGATAGATTATGGCATGAAAACCCAGGATGGAGATTGATCAGGAGAGTCAAATACTGTGGAGGTGAAGGATGAGAATGACAAAAAGGATATTTTTAGAAATAGAAGGATCACTAATGACCTTGGGAGAAACAATTTAAGCCAAATGGTGAGATTCAGTGGTAGGGATGAAACCAGATGGCAAGGGTTAGAGAAGTGAGTGGAAGGTGAAAAAGTAGAGGTAATGAGCATAGATACTTTTTCTAGGAGTTTGAAGTAGAAGTGAGGACAGTAACTTAAGGGAATGGTTGGAACTAGTTAAGGGGTTTTTTTGTTCGTTTTTAAAGAATGCGAGTCATCTGGTAGTGTTTGTGGGCATTAGGAAAGGAGCCAGAACATAAGGAGAGGTTGGAGATTAGGGAGGAAGAATGTTCAAAGGGGCAACATGAGGGGACAGGATCAAAGACACAAATTGGCATTGACAGCCTCTGAAACTCCAACAAAGGAGAAAATAAGGGATGGTGTTAAGGCTACTTCAAGTGTAGAAGGGAGAGCTTGTGATTTCTGTAAATAAGGAAACAAGGTCCTTTAATGAGGGGAAGGTGGAGGGTGGGGTGTAAATAAATGGCTTGAGATTTGGAAAGGATTTTTTGAGGAATCTGGGCAGCGAGTTGGCGCAGTGGGTAGAGTACAGGGCCTAGAATGAGGAAGATGTCTTCCTGAGTTCAAATCCAGCCTCAGACACTTAATAGCTGTGTGACCCTGAGCAAGTCATTTAACCCTGTTTGCTTCAGTTTCCTCATCTATACAATGAGCTAGAGAAGGAAATGGTAAATTACTTCAGTCTTTACCAAGAAAATGGGGTCACGAAGAGTTGGATATGACTGAAAAACAACTGAACAACAACTTTTGAGGAGTTAGACAATCAGGAAGAAGTAAAAAGATTGGCATGCAACAGTGAGAATACAGTTGAGGTTAGATGGCATAAATTTGCCGTGGACACAGTGCCATTGTGTGACTTATTCTAGGAGCATTCAGCAGCATGAATAGCTGAGAAGGCGGAATAGAACAAAGAGAAAAGTGATTCAAGACTTGAGAACGATATATAGTTAAATCATTTAACTAGAAGGTCAAGACTTTGAAGGGAAGAAAATAAGGCTAGAAGAAGGGTAATTGCCTGGGAAAGCAGGAATGGGTAGAGTGACTAGAGGTTATGGTCACACTAAAGGCAATAAAACACATATGTCTATATAGGTATGATGCAAGTCTAACAAAAAATGCCATGGCTGGAGCATAGAGGTTATGGGCTCCTTTTGACTCTGGACGGATAACTTGGTGGGATCATGTTCAGTTTTGGGACAGCTTGATCCACCTAGGCAATCATCCTTTCTTCAGCCTTTGGCTTTTTACATTATGATCTTGGTATCCAGGGTATGGAAGCTTTACTTAAATCTTTGATTCAGGCTTATGTATAAGATCTCCCCCAAAAGGGGGAGTGGAAAAGTACTCAGTGTGCACTCTAGATCAGGTATAGGACAGGTATTTGTTCCCCACATAAAAAATGCTTAACACAAAAGTTCTCACAAGTTCAAAATAACAAAAAATAATGTACAGTAACATAACTACTGTTATATTCAGTACACATTGATAGAAATTTTAAATAAGCCCAGAGGTTGAGACTTTTCAGGACATTTTATATTTTATTTCATCTCGACACTGCCTCCCTCAAAATCCATGTCTTTTAGCAAGAAGGTCAGAGATTAGGCTTATTTTCCAGCCAGTGGTCCTATCCAAGGGTGGTGGACAGAGACTCCCTCCAAAGACTGAAGATCCAGAATCTCCAAAACTCTCAAACTAACAAAGTGGCCTACAAGTCTGGATATGTCTATCTTGGGATCAGTACTCATTAAAGGCCAGGAAAGAACAAACACTAAAAAAATAGACCAAAACCCAGGACTTGGGCAAGATGTGAACTTTAGCTGCCGAGTACTCATGGCCATATAGCAGCCAAGGTGGAGTGAATTGCCCTACCTCCCATCCTTCCCAGGAGGAGCAAAATAATTCTGACATGCAATCAGGAAAAAGGAGAGTAAAAAAAAGAGAGCCAGGGGCCAGCATAACTTTTTTTGTTGTTTTTAACATCTCAACTCTCCTGCTCAGTGACCAATAAAGGTGTTATCTCTTCATCTCAAAGCACCAAGTCTTCTCACTAAATCTCTCTGTCTCTTTGTCTCTCTGTCTCTGTCTCTGTCTCACACACACACAGAGCAGAAATACTTTCTCTGTACCACCCTTGTTTTAAAAGGTACAAAGGAGACTTCATATCCACCCTCCCCCCAGCACCTAGCACGGAGCCTGGCACATGGATGCTTAACAAATACTTGTTGATTGATTGGTTAGTTGATTGATGGGATCAAAGAAGAGAGCCACACAAAGGGTTCTGGGAAAATTTGAAGAGGAAGAGAATGGGAAGGTTTGGAGAAGACTTGATAGATTTGATGGCCCTTGACCTCAAAAGAGGGAGAAACAAGCAAAGAAAAGGGAGTGTATTCCAGCCAGAGGAAATGGATTGAGAGAGCACATGGTGGCACCAGAGGAGCAGGCCGACCACAAGATATGTTGGAACCAAATTATGATGGGTCTTAAATGCCAAGATAAGGATTTTGTGTTTTCCTCAGGATTAAGTGAGTCCATCCATGGTTGGCAAATAAGGACCTTCTCTGGACCTTGCCAATGAGAAATGGGTTTGGCTTAGTCATGCAGACAAAGCTGAAATGGGAATCTGCTCCTGAATTCTCATTCCAGTTATGCCGCTGATTGACTACATATTCTTGTGCCAGCTGAACCTCCTGATTCTGGGGCCTCTCTTTTGGGATACAGGGTAGTATCCTGATGACTCTACTTACTCATCCAGGTGTGGAAAGAATTGAGCCCAGCTGAGGGTTTTCTTAGAGAAACCTCTTGGTGGAGATAGCCCATGGGACTTGGGATCCCTTCCATGTGACTAGCTCACGATGGAGAAGGGAAGCATTTCCCCACGTGTGTTAACAATTCACGGGAAAATTCAAAAATTCCAAGTCTAAACTGTGCCCTCCCCGCTCTCCTGGCGGGAGATATCAGCTATTCGATGATGTCATCTGCTGCCTCAGCATGCATTCTTTCCCATGTTCCCTTCAGTGGCTTTTTCATCTCCTCATATAATTGCCAAATTCCATCATGTAATTTCTCTGTCCTTAGGGAGATTGCACCACCTCCAGATTTAGCATAGTTACACTCTGCATTTCAGTTATACATTCCCCTGTCTTTACTACTCCCTCCTGAGAGTAGAAAGTGTTTCATTCTTCGTGTTTGCATCCCCAGCATGTAGCACAGTGCCTGGCACATAGATACTTAATAAAATGTTCTTTGATTGATTAGTAAGGTCTTGTAGTACACCTATTCCCTAGTGTATTCTCTAGCGTAGGCATCCCTGTCCCCTTTGCTAGTCTACTTGTTAGCTACCTTTTAGCCAATTACCAATCTGAGTTGGGACAAGATTTCACAAGCACTTCAAGTCCTGGTCTTCAGACATTTCCAATTGTCCCTTGCTCCAGAATAATCCTAACTCAGGTTCCTTACCAAGGAGAGAGAGTCTATTTATAATCATAAGCCTTCATGTCAGGAAGCTATGTGGCTTGACTTTGTAATCTTGTGTGAAGAGAAATGGAAAACATACAGCATTGGTGGAAGAGAGAAAGGAAGAGGAAATGCCTTTACTAAGCAACTACTCTGGC